ACCTTCACATCACACAATATCATGTTTTTTTATTTTTTTTATTAGAAAACAAATGCCTCGGCGACTATGGGCTACAATAATTTATAAAATTAAAAGGTTATTACATTAAACATAAACTTATACGTAATAACTAAGTAATATATATAGTATCATATGTTTTGTATGTGTTCGTCTTCAAGTCGAATAAAAATTATGAACAAAGTACAAGTCTGTTAATTTAACGACTCGGCATCAAGCAGCAATCTTTGGCTGGCTCCCGAGTGTTATTGGCACAATTATAATTGTCATCGGGTTATTACATTTAACAATTTACATAATATATTTAATAATAATAACATTATGTTGTAGGTCTTTTTCGGTTTGTTTATCATTATTGTATCGGACTACAGAGGAATTCAAAATATCACCAACAGCTATAATATTTTATTTTATTTCGAAACATATAATATGATCTATCTTTATAATCCGTCAATTAAGATTGGTAAATATTTGTTATACAAACAGGCTACGAATGAAATCAACATACATACTCTATATTATAGTCAACCATAAATATTTGAATAGTATTTTAGTAGATAAATATATTAATCCCCGAAAAACTGCACTGCAGTTGATATAGAGCGTAATGTAATGAGTATAGAGCTTATAGTATTATCTATAATCAATAATCAATATACTTTTACATATTTACATATCATAGCGCCTAAATAATACTATATTTAGATACGCAGTATATTGTATTTGTTTATTTGCTCATTTTAATCAAATCTATTTCAATCGGGTTATATACTCTTTGATTATTTTATATGGATTATTTATAACTTTATACGTTTTTTTTTTAATTTGAACTTTGTTATTACAAACTTTAGAAGTTATAACTAAATATTATATCACCTAGGTACCTATAATATCAGTTAAAATATGATTTTGGCTTACCGTGTTATACAATGATGTTCTATTTAATACAAGGAAATACTTAAAAAAGTTTAAAGATTATATTACTGCTTGTAAAGTTAGTATGTGTAACATATTATTAAATTGTATTTAGTGTAATGTTATACTATGATAAGAATGCGTAATTTCAACAGCATAATATGTTTTTTTAGAGCAATAGGTACATTAATATATGTACGCTTTAAATTAAGTGTATAATGGTTGCATGAAATAGATAACTGTTCTTATATAACAAGAACAACAAATTGATTATAATTGTATTAATTGATAATTACCCATCGGCCGATTAATTTCAAATGCATACACGTATGCGAAACATTAAGTTCAAAAAGCTGTGTAGATTAATGAATACAATTGGCCAAAGTGCCTAATTGGAAAAATTGTATTATAGTTACCTAAGTGAACGAAAATCTATTATTACTGTTATCTAAATATTGCACGAGTACAATAAGTATATGTGTATTGTTTACTTTACATGCACAAGTACCTGCCTACGTTATAAAATTAAATTGTTATTGGTTGTCTTTAAATAATTTAATAAATATATTTATAACTTATCCTACTTTCATAATATGCAATGCTTATGTAAATAATATATTATATTATGATATAACGAATAATATTGTATTAAATAATATGTAGAAAAATTGTACCTTATTAATTGTAACCTTAACAAATATTATTATATTTGTATAAATAGTGCACCGAAGAAACATTCTAAAAAAAAAACTATAAGTACAGGATACCAACTACCTACTCGCGAGTGTGGTGGGTCTATCTTCACTCATCTCAATGCAGTAAAAATGTAAGATACCGTATTACTATTAATGATTATAATATTATAAATTTAAAAAAACTCTAGTCAACCATCGTATAAGAAAATCGATACTATACAATCAAGGCACGGATAAAACCTTATTCGCTGACATTTTTCAAAGTGCCTGTATATATAGAATTGTCTTACAACTACCAAGAATTTAAAAAAAAAAAACACCAATTCAATTACGCTCAATTTCCAAGAATATCTGTTCAGAGAAAAAAGTCGAAATAAAATATATTGTCAAACCGATACGTTTCTCGTCGAGACCAACGCGTTTCGATGATTACAAATTAAAAAAAGACCCTATACTAACTACCCACATAGTGGTACATGGCAGCTAACATGTCTATATAGACGTTTTGGAACAGCTCAATTTGTAGATGAAATTATGTAATATTATAACGCATATTGTATCAATTCATGATTAATTATTAATAAAATAAACACATACTTAATAATGCATGTAACAATTGCATATATTATATTATTTGATGGGTAATTAATTTAATGTTACCCATCTTGAGACTTTGACCTCGACTTACCGTCGTGTATAATATGTGATCCCGCTGCGATTTACGCATTTGTTGAAAACTTTCTGGGCACAATGTATGCAATATAACATTTTAAGTATTATGTGTAGTTATTTTTAATATAGGTGATCACTGGCCACAAAATAAATTCGTGTTGACAGTTGTCACATACACTCACATTTTTATGTTAAGCTACACATATAAAAAAAGAGAGAAAAAGCAAATAGATTGTAAATGTTTTATTTCCTCATATTTGAGAAATTTCAGAACATTTGATACAAGTGCGGTAGAAATAATGATATCTAAGCACTTATAATAATGTATGTCCTATAAATTAACTTGAACATGCTAACAATTTTCATATTATATATTTTCCCCTTCTTTAGCTTGTAGTACCTAGTACCTACTAAGTACTTACCTATATTGTTATTTTTAGTGTATTATTTATTATTATCTCATTATCTATATAATAAATATAGTGTTTCTCGTAGTAAATATTTTACACACCAGCTCAGCGTAGATGTGCATTACAAATTGTTGTTCCAACTGCAGTTGATAGAAGTAAAAGGCACGGTTGATGAATATTAGTATTGTAGATTTTTAATTTTTTTTATAATTTTTCTGGCAAAATTTGGTTGTACTCAAAAATATATCAAAATAAAATGTCCAGTAGTATTTTTATAAGCCCGCTGTAAGCGCTTTCCGTATTTTCTAGTGAGTTTTGCACGGTTTGTTATTTTCGAGTTCGGACCGGATGTACAGTTATAATCTGAGCTCGTTCGAGCAAGACCGGCATATTTTTTTTTCGTTTTACTCGTACTCTGACCGGACAAGACTACATTTTTCTACAAACCGGGAGGAACTTCTCGTACATCTCTTATATAGTAGACTACAATGTTCTCGTTTCTGGTTTTAAACACGTTTTAAATCAAATTTCTGTAAGTTATCTTCATGTTCCAACTTATAATCTCATAAAATGAAATAAATAAATAAGTTATGTGGCAAACAATTAGTCTAATAGGTTATAGATCCATACATTTTGTATTATTTAATTAATCAAAATATTTTGTGAGTATGAATTAATAATAAATAAAACTAATTAATCTATCATCAACAGCACAAATTTAATTTTCCATTTAATATTGATCGCGTCTTTAATATAATAGTACCTATAAATAAATAAATGCATGATAAATTCGTAATCAAACAATATTGTTGAGTTTATTTTTAGTCGGTTCTGAATACTCGAAAAACTTGATCAAATCACTAAATTTTGCACGATATGTTTGGACTTACAATTTATTTAGAATTTAAATCACACAGTATAATTTGATTTATTGTGAAGTGCTGTGAAGACACTTATTTCCGATTTTATAAGACAAACAGTTTCAGTACCTATTTACACGTGAAAGCAATATTGCAATAGGGAACCAATAACCTCCTATATAATATGACTTCATAAAGTGAAAGTGTTATCGCTATTGGTAAGGGAAAGCCAATGATTAAGGCTGTTAAAACTGTTTTATGTTACAAAAGTTGTTTGACGGTATGTAAATTTGTACTCAAAAACGTAATTTGGCATGAGATTATATTATGTGTACTGTGTAGGCTGGTATTCAAAAGACGAAATCCAGTTTTTGAAATTTATAAGCTGATTTATATTTCAAAGTATAAAACTGTTTTTTAATTTTTTTTTTAAACCTTATAACATGCCACAATCAAATGGAATGTCACAATTCTATATTTGCCATGCACTTACTAAACTAGAAAATCTCGTTAATTTGGCCATATTAAAATGGCGACGGTTTGATAAATAAAATATTTTAAAATAGTAGGTATATACGTACATTCAAAGCAATATAGTAATGGCTAATGACCTGCAACTTGAACGAGTTTAAAACTGGCTACATTACGATGGTATGAAGTGTAGTTATGGTTCAGGATATCATGCAGATAATATGCCTAATGCCTATATCCAATACCTATAGTCACACGGGTAACATCCAAATAAAATACGTAAGTACATCGAACATAGTATAATAATATGTATTACATCATTTTTTTATCATGTATACGTGTATCTACATTTACCAATCGAATAAACTAGGTATTTAAGAAATTGAGTTGCAATTTAATTATGAATAAAACGCGAAAAATATTCTATTAAATGATTATGTTATATTTTATTGCGTTACATACATACATCAGACATTATGTTTGATAAGTGATAATAGCTACATATATGAGTAGGTATGTATTATTGGTTAATCAGGTTAACCATGCAGTTGGTATATTTGTTATAAATTATGTAATGAAAGTAATGATAAAATACCTATATAATACGTAAAAGTATTATACACCATGTATACGATCGATGGTGTAAACGAAGTAAGTGCATGGTAATAAATCTACTGAAACGTTTGATTTCCAAAATTACCAACAAAATACGCAGTAAAACCTGTCTTAACGGACACCACCTGTATTATAATCCTACAGGTTTTCACTGTAATGTATTTTTTAAACACGGTATTATTTATCTTTATTTGAATAAAGATGTTAAGAAAATTGATATTGTATGGTATTACGCTGATCATTTTTAGTACCTACATGATACCTTATGTTATGATTTTTAATCTCCACAAAAGCTATATACAAACATTACAAACTGTATAATATGTAATTTATTTGTTGTTTAGGAAAAGGAATTCTGATCTTTATTCCAGTCTGGTTGAACCAATGGCAGCTGCTGGTTTCAACAGAGACGCGACGCAATTGAGGACCAAGTGGAAACACTTGAAGCAAGATTACAAATTAGAGTTGGTGAGAATTGATAAAAATGGTGCTGCGAGTTCAAGGATGTCTTACTTTCATTTGCTCCACGAAGTACTGAGCTGCAAACCAAGCAATGCCATGACGTACCTTTGTGAAGTTGTTTCGAGTAAGTTTTAATAAATTAATCAATATGCCGGCATTAGGTATTCAATTTTTCGATCTTTGGTAAAATATAATTTCAGTTTCGTTCCCCTCGACAGCAATCACGAGCTGTCACTGTATCTCAATTCAATTAAATGTAAATGAGTGATGTTTTAAAAATTTATTGTACCTACTCTCACGTTAAATTTAACTGCGGGGTTTCAACAAAAAATGCAAAATAATTTATCAATTTGTTGTGATGTAAATTATTCTGTAGTTATGCCTAGATAACATTAAAACTTATTTTTGTTCAAGTATTTGTAGGCAACACTCTATGAACTGTATAATAAAATATAGGATGATAAATAATATAAGTAAAATAAGTAAATTTTAATTTATCAGTAGGTAAGTAAGTATGCAGGTGGTTGAATTCTTTTTTTTTTCCAATATTTTAACGTTTTTAATTATCATTCCATAATTAAATGTTGTACATAGTATATACCTAATATGATTTTTTTGGAAAGATTTATTAGAAATTATAATTGAATATATTTGAGGTCTCCCGAAAAGAATTAAACCTCATTTTACCTAAATGGACTCGCGCACAGATAAATTGATTAACGAACTGCCGATAGCAAAGATGATATACGCACCAATGTTAAATTCTTATTACCATTATCTATAGTTTATGTGTAGGTCTATGGATAATAAATCTATAATATTTTTTGCTCTATATCTATAGTTGACTATTCGTCATATTTTTTGTCTTATATAGATTCTCCTCCCCGGCTCGACACCGCGGAAAGCATTAAGACTGAATACTTAGACGACATAAAAATGGAAACGGACTACTACAGAGTGACCGAACCGCAGGTGGACATCATCCAGTCTTGTGATGTACAGACGCAGACGGAGGGCACGCCGGAACAGCACGTACTGCAAAAGCTGCACGCGTTGGAGAACAGCATCAACGTCCTGAGGGAAGACTGGCGGAGGGATCGTGAAATGCAAAACGTGCTGATGGAGAAGCACTCGAGGAGGATGTTGGAGCACCAGAAAACGTTGATGGACAATTTCTTCGCCAAGACCAAATCGCATTTGTTGAGAACCAAAAATAAAGACTGAAACGGGGTTCGGGTACACTTCGATGTGTCGTCGGCGCAGTAGCAGAACCCGCAGCTGCGTTGGCGTCCGAAACCCGCGATTCTTTGTACCTCCCCATATAATATTATTATTATTTTATCGAACTCGTATTATTATTAATGATATTTACCTATATTATATTTGTAATACCCCACTGAACATGTGTATGTATTCACGTTAAACGTTTAGCATTTGTAAATAAGTTTGTACCAAATTTAAATCTATGTTATAATATTATCATAATAACAATAATAATAATTATAAGGCATGCGTGATATTGCTCGGTATGTATATAATAACAAACAATGTCAACATGAGATAAATAAACGTTTTTAATTGTGTCGTACACGTCTATAATGTACAGTGAAACCTTCCCCAACAGGCACCCCTGAATAGCGGGCATTTCGGACGAAATTTCGGAGACTGAGCGTCCGGTATTTAGAGGTTTCAATTTTATATTATTCATAAGCGTCTCGTGCGTAGGTAAGATTGAAATAAGAGGGAAAAAACGCTACGAGGTCGTATATTGTCTTACGAACAAAAACGTCACCCGGCTCCGGACACTCGGCGATAAGTGCCATAAAATTCTAAATGCTCGGACCGATGATACTGCAGTTACTAAACTTGCGAGGCGCCTCGCCCACGTGTGCTGTCTCCAAACACATTATACTTACGAATAACTAATAATTAGTATACTGCGTTTAGCAGTTCCGTTTTGGTGTTGTAAGCTATGTATTGAAAATGTAGTGAAATCGACGTGTCAAAGGTCGGCGGCCATCGGCTGTATCTTCTCGTGGTGAGTTTCTTATGATTTCGTAATTTTAAACGAGTTACGCAATAACGTTAGTTAAATGTAATGAGTTAAATAATTGTAATACTTCACACGCACTCATTACTTGCTTAAAAATGTGTCGGATCACTGATCATATTATGTACAGAAGTATATTTTATAATCAATATGACGGTTGGACTACTGAACACAGATAATGGTATATTAAATCACGTTGTACACGCATCGCTCTGGTTTGGCGTCGTCCTCTTTAGTTTCGAGCCGGCGTTCACGTGACTACATAATTATTTAATAATAATATAGTAATATTATAACATAGTGTGGATGTCCTCGCGTCGTGCTTTGAACTGCCGACGCCTCGTCACGCGCAATGTCCACGACGATGCTGCTTCGGACGTCAGTACAATATTTTTAGCATCTCGCGTTAACCGCGAATGACGTGCGTTGCGACTGTCGACGAAATCGGTTGCTTGTGACATGTCTAATGCGTCCCAAACTAAAACAGTTACGACAACAAAATTCCGATATTCCTGCTGAAGCGTCCTGGATGCGTCCGATTTACGACGGCATCAAGTATTCCGACCATTCATTTATAGGTACTCTATTATTACATCAACAATGTAGTATCGCTCTCCATGCAAAACAAAAGTGTATTTTGTTTTTAATAATCATTGTATGACACTATGATCACTTACTTGTCATCACACCTAATGAGCCTTCGACGGCATGAGGTTTTTGTGTGTAGTAAAAAAATATCGAAACAAAGTTTATAAATAATTTTTTTTTTTTACCATATATTTGGAAAATATACAATCTGTAAGGTTAGTTTACAATAGGCATTTATGCGGTGCTTATGTGTTTTTACGTGAGTTAACACGAGTTTAAGCAACTACCCAACAGTAGTATTTGTAGCGTGAGGGTTATAAATAATAATTAAAAAAATGTATACAATATATAATATGTACATATTACATGCATTCAATTCATTTCTAAAGCCATTAGCCAAAAACAAACCTTACAAATATTAAGTTATAAATAGGGTAAATACCTATAATGCTGACAGCTTTATTATCATAAATCATAATACATATTAAATAAATACCTAGTACGTTATTTTACACAAACATAAAAAAAAAAAAACTTTATGAATTTAAATATTCTAATATTAATGATTAATTGAGTATTAATTAATTCAAATTGTATGACATACAATTAAAAAAAAATCCAATACCTTCACATAATTAGGTTTTTTCTAATTGATTTTTTTTTTTTTATATACAATGGGTACGAATTAAAAATAAATGTACCGATATATTTTAAAGGAACGCATAATTCAATACACTAATATAATAAGAATTGTTATTTTAATTCAATCTTTAATCCAAGTATTCTGAAAATCACTAAATCACATCTATGCTTCGCGTTCCAGACGGGTTTTGATGTAGTGCTAAAAATCGCATGTTATTATTTTATAATACCCATTATTATGCAGGTAGTGCAGTACCAACTACCACTTATACCTAGGTATACGATATTATTTCAAATCGATATCGATCGAGCCTCGCGGATAATATCATAACGTATACGAACGTGGCGCACGTCGGCCACTGACAGCTGCTCTTGTCGTGCCTCTCAATCCCGCGATGTGTCACGCCAATAAGGCATATCATTATATGCGCATAAAGTGCATACATATATAATATTACTAGCATGTACGTCGTCAACGTATGTACAACACCGCTCGCCCAGCCACCGAAACGACTCGCTTATTGTTTGTGAGAGTGATGTAATATATACAACACATATAATATACACACATAAATTGACTCCGTACCATGTACGACGAGTATATATGTATATGTACGAGAGTACTTGTATAACATGCATTTTCCGTATACATATATATATACTTTATAGATTCGCGTGTGTGCCGCCGCCGCCTCCTGCTCGATGGGGTGACCGCCGTCATCTGTTGAACAGTATATGGGACGACGGGGGAGGGGCACTCGAAATACGAATTTGAATACGCGCGAGGGCCACCGGTAAAATTACTATACATATGCATATATGTATATACATTGTTATTATGTCCAACACCCGCTACCATTATATACATACGAATATGTGTGTTATATTACATACATAATAATGTTCGCTTCAGGCTCACGTTGTCATTACTCTGCGGGCGATCGAAAATACTACATATTATTATTGTATGCTATTGCTATATGCATCATAATAAATTATAATATAACACTAGTATGTGGTGCGAAGATGGTGGCGGCCGACAGATGACTTATATCCTGGTCGGGTTACCGGGAAACGATAAGATAAAATATATTGAGTGTTATCTATACCTGTACTTAAGCTCGCAAGCGTATGTACGCGCTGTGGCCGACGACGATGATTATTATTGTGTGATGTGGAATGTTAGTCGAAAAACGTTGTGGACATAGAAGCAATTTCAATTTTTTTTTTTTTTTTTTTTTTTTAGGGAGGGGCAAATAGTTCCGCGAGAGGCCATATTACCTTTAACGGGCTTGCAAAGTGTTACGGCTCAATAGATTTTTACACAGATTTTATTGATGGATAATATTGTCATTATTAAATGTCCCGAGAGTGGGTGTAGGGGTTGCTAACCACACAAACCTACGACGAAATAAATTGCAATACCAAATATGAAAACATACAGAAATACGTAGTGCTGAATAAAATCTAAAAGCAAATAATTGCTAATGGTACGATTTAAGACAGTATAATATTACCTATGTAATAAATTGAAAATTCCTTTTAGCTGAACCACATTTGTTCGTTCTAAGTTTTAATATGAGAATGAATATTTACCTAGTGTATTAAACTTTAAGTTGAGAACAATATCCATGTTTGTACGTATTGAATTTTTAAAAAATATTTCATTTTGTCAGTGATACGATTCTATGGCATTAAATTATTGTAATGTATTACATACTTATAATTTGCATACCAATAATTAAAATATTATTTTGTCTCAAATTCAAGTTCATCTACAGGTCAATTCACTCTAATCTTAAAGCTAACAAGACTATGGATTGGTTCTGTTGAACGCAAATGTGCAGCCATGTTAAACGTGGATCGTATAGGGTACACACATTTTAAGCCGGCACATCCTCTTAATCCATCATATACATTTGTAATCGCAAATATAAATAGTTGAGTGATAACTGCAATATGTCTGGTATACAACAGATGTGGTTACAGTTGGTTAAGTTTCAGTGATGTTGAGAAAAAAAATAATTACGAGTATATTCTAAAAACTATTTTGTGATGATAATATAAGCGACTAAATGTGTTATATAACTGTTATAGACATCTTGGGGGCGTGATGAGCTCCATTTGACAGCCCCCTCCTCCCAGTTTGAGCTTATGATGCAAGGTGGCGGTGATCGTGCGCGTTCGATGTGTAATTATATTTTATTATAGTTTAAAGTAGTCTGTAATATTGTTAAGACTCGCTTACATAGACCGTGTTTGTAACTAAACACACATTGTATTGCAGTGCACAGTCGACACTTATTTTATTGTCATAAAATTATCAAGTAGGATTTTATCCGATGCTGTGGACTGCACTGTTCAACTCTGCTGGGAGTCGGATTGTTTCTCAAAATTCATTATCGATTAACAATTAATTATCTAGTCGAACGGTCCGGCGGCGGTGGCCATCAATAATTATTTTTCGCCTTCTCGGAGCTTCGACGAGGGGCTAGAGTGCCGCGAACCATCGTTTCCCTAATCGTTCACACATTTAATTCGCTTTGCAAACACGTCGATCAAGTGAAAAACTTTCGACCCTCGTCGACTATCCACCCGGTGGACGTTGTTTATGTGATATCGAAATCATTTACGGTTGATTGTTTGCGATTAAAATGGTTTTCTATTGAATTTGGTGCCATGGCAATAAAATAAACAATAATATATTTAATCTCTTTTTCATTATTATATATATTATCATAATTGTTTTTACTCTCCTGTCAATTATTAATAAAACGTTAGGTTAGGTTAGTTTGGTCAATATAACGATGGGTGTTTCAATTTCTAATCTTCTTGCCAATTATCAAGGTTCACTTAAAATGATTTCCGCCATGACAAAAAACAACATGCAGCAAAATCTATATGCCTACAAGCCTTGACAGGGCTGAATAAAAAAAATAGATGATTTTTGGTCAAACGTTTCTGGGAGTAATAAAATATTAACACCTACGTTTATAAATTATAGTATTTAATTATATTATTTTTTGAGTAGGTTTTATCAGAAAAA